AAGGAGGAGAAAAAATGTAACATAATTAGATAGAAGCAAGGGGGGAGATTTTTTTGTTTTGTTTGTTTGTTTTACGATATCTTTTATTCAACCATTTGTATAATTGGGAGAAATGGTGGACAAGATTTTGGGCATGAAGGGAACTGATATCTGGTAGTGGGGAGCTGTTAAGGAGATGCCTTTTGCTGTTTCTAAAACAAGAAAACATTCATATGCCAACTTTAAAAACTTCTAAAAAGTTTCAGTTTGTGCATTCATAGTAGAGATTGCTAGGGATTGCTGCCTCTGCAACTACTGTCTACCCCCCTTTTGCCTATGCAACAATACAATTCCTAACCATATAATCATGACAATTTTTTACAGCAGGACTTAAGACCTCATTTCATTCACAAACGTTAGTTATTCTGAAGATGATTAAGGCTTGTGTAACTAATGAGGTTGTTGTCTGTTGGCTCTGTCCTCTTCTGTTGCAGCAATTGAAGGTTATGCAAAGAATGAACTGAAGCTTCAGGAAGAGAGGGGATGGTTTGATGGACAATGCAGTTGAATGCTGCCCTGAATAACTGGATTTTATTTTCATCTCTGCAAATCACTTACCCTAAGCTTTTCACTGGTAAGCAGTAATATTAGTTCTGCATTTTCTGAAAGTTCACCTTAAGGCTGGCCTCTGATTTGAACTAGTGCTGAGCAGCTTAGCTGTAACTAAAGCTGTAAACTACATATGGCATTATGCTATATATTTCTAAGATTTGGCTGTTTAACCCTTCTTATATTTTGCCATTGTTCCTTTCACTTTATGAGTTTGGCACTTTATTTCTAGATATTTTTTGTATTAACCATTTGATTAATCAATTTAGTCACATAATGGGATTGCTGGAAAACAAAATTCCTTAATAAAAATTTCTGAAATTACTTATTTTAAAAAGAAATAAATGAAAATTAAAATAACAACAATTTCCACAGTTAATGCTAAAAATTAAACTAAAAAATGAGAATATTACTTAACAGTTTCAAAATATTTAGGAGATTTTTAAGGAGTCCTAAAGTCCCATCGTTTTCCAACATTTCAGGCAAAGCTGAACAAACATGTTTTCTAGAATATATTTTAGAATCCTGTAAGAATATAAATGTTTGGTTTTTTTCAGTGAGTATCTGTAAAGTCAGTGAATCTTAGTTGCAGATAATATTTCATGCCATATGAAACTGTATTTTGTACATATCTTACTGATTATAGCACATGATATACTGAGATGTTTATTGTAAAAGGTAATTTACACCAGTAACAAAATACTGCTTGAACATTTATGGAGATGCTCACCTGATAAGTAAAAGTTTCCGGCAGGTATCTAATGAGTCATTGTATCCATCAGGAATAACTTCTTCCTCAGGAGCATCTTTATCAAACCAACTTTTCCACCCCTTCTCATTACGAAGTATCTAAATAGATTACATGAATAAATACATAAATAACATTGACAGTAATGAGATGGCAATAATGTTAGAAGCTTATGTTTTAATGAAACCCTTCAAATTAGAATAATTTTTCAAATACATGTCATGACAAGAGGAGGCTATTGAAAATATATGTTCAGAGGTAGCATAATAATAAGTTATTACAAAAAGATATTGCGATATTGAGACACCCACTCTAAACAATTTGCCTAGGAGTAAATAGCCAAGCATAAAATAATCTTCCATGCATAAAGATAGGAAGGTCATCTATTAGCAGGATGATTCTCTACTATAAAGACAAAGATAGAAAGCATTGTAATTGATGTATATCTATTACTAATAAAAAGATGAGAGACTATAGCTAAAATTATTGCATGAACCAATATGGCCAAAGAACACAACATCAAAAGCAACGCTCCATTCTAAATTATAGTCATCATTATATTATGTGGCTTTTGAAATTTCAAGTGAATATGAGTTTGATCAGTGGAGAGATCCCTAAAGCCTTTCTTTAGAATATCTGCCAACATCCACAGATGCATCTCGAGCAGGTCCAAAGAGGTGA